TGGTGGGAAGAAAAAATCACGGCCGAGGTGTCCTCGAGTTTGGCCATGTCACACATACTTCTCTAGAAGGGAAGAAGTATGTGTATATCATTATTGATGATTATCATTAATTTCATTGCTTTATTTTAGAATGGATCCATAAACACCTTGTAGGAATCAAAGAAAACACTTCCTCATTCACAAAAAATACCACATGACATCCGCCATCAGATTCAAGAGAATTTGAAATAAATATTTAAAAAATAACAAACTAAAGAGGAGCTGGAGTATAATACACCTGTGTTTGTTGATGACTCTACTGATGAAGAGAGGAGATCCTCGTCACTTCCCAAGTCACAATTTTCAGATGCACACAATAAAAAGATTGATAGAAGAAAGAGGAAACTAGATGAGCTATATATATATATATATTTGCACCAAGGAGATTGTACAAACCATAAACCATTATTATAAAGAAAAGATGCGACAAACTCCCATATTTTTAACCACCATAATATTGCAGAAATGCAACAGCTATAATCTCTACATAGAGCCATAAACTAAACGATTTGCAGAATGGTGGCGGTTTTAACCGCCACAATTCTGCAATGTTGTGGCGGTTAAAGCCGCCACAAACTCCCATATTTTTTTTAAATGAATTTCATTTCATTATAACATACAAACTCATTCAATAAGCATTACAATAGCCCACATATTATGGCCATGAATAAATAAACTTAATATCTCAAGAAAAATACCATGAGAACTAACAAAATATCACAAAAAATAATTAATAACAATTAAGCTTAAATTTTTTCCATAAGATTAACATTTTGAAATCACTCTCAAAATGAATATATATATTGATGAAACTAGAAAGTGTTATACATGCATCATGCATGAATGTAGTTGAAGTATTTTTCTTTCTAAAAGCAATAAAGGAGGAGGTTTCATTGTTCTTCTCTTAAACGTACATTCAACTAGCTTAAACGTCATAATCTTTTCACAAACAAGTAAAACTTTTAAGGCAGTGCTAATATTACCATCAACAAAGAAACAACAGCAACAAACATCCATTATCATTGTTATGTAATTGCATCATAAAAAAGAGATCAGATGTACTACTCTTCATCCTTATGAGTTTTAAAATAAGCTTGCTTCTGAGTTGAAATGTATTACGTTATGCATTCTTCATACCTATATAACAGACAGATGTGTAAATTTAAACTATAACAATATAAATAAAGCAGCATTAACAGGATAGTCCAAAAGCACTAGTAGCAATGTACATTCAACTAACTTCTTCCCTTAAATGTACGTTTTACTCTATCTCTTTCTCTCTCGATCTCTTTCTCCAAAAGTTCCTTTTATAAGATGATTTTTCCTTCACAATGAAAATAGAATATGAGATGCCAATAATTGGCATAGAAGTCAGATAATAGCAAAATCATGCATAATAAATTATAAATAGACAAGTGCACGCATAAAAAGTTCAAACATTACAAGAACTATTACAGTTCAAAATCAAAACAACATAAGTTCGAATGAAAATGAAACAACAATTTGTGCATGCATTTCAAATGAAAATGAAACCCTATGTTAGAGAACAAATTGAAGAGCTAGACACGATCGAGCGGACGAAGCTTAGGCTTTGACATAGTCAACTCGTCGGCCACAATCCATGCACAAACGCGAAGAGCCACGCGCGAGCGATTCCAGGGAGAAGGGGATTGGAGATCGAAAGCTAGCAAGAGAGAAGCGGGATCAAGAAGAGAGATCGTCCACGAGTATACGGCATAGGATTTTGTTTTAGGCTATACCGTCAATATTTGCACTGGTCAAAACCGTTGCTAAACACTCATTTTGGTGGCGGTTCTCAAACCGCCTCTAACAAATGTTGCGAAAACTCATACTTTTTAATAGTGTGTGAAAATTATGATGTTATTCGTGCCCTTTCATTTATCTATTTGTGTGTTGGACCTTCGTGTAAAACCAGAATATAAAACTCTCTCACTCCACCTCATCGAATTTTCTAGCCCACAACATCTATATTATTGAAAACAAGTTTTAAATTGTATTATTGCTCTATGCCTCTATTAATATCTTATTTAAATATATTATGAAATATGAGGCATTTATAGTGTACTAGTAAAAATGCCCGTGCATTAAATGCACGATAATAAAAATTCATATTATGAATATTTTAATTATATTAGCATCATAAAGATGAAAAATTGTATCATTATAAATAATTATAATCATTATGATAAGTTTTATATGATTAGATACGTCCAAATAGTAATTTTTGCTTGAAGCATATTTTTTAAGATTACATTAAAACAATTTCAAATTATAATAATATTAA